GTAGTGTCTTTCATCGAGTCTTTTCCATAAATTTTCCTTTTCCTTCCGTCTTTGCTTTTATGATAACACATGTTTTTTGTTTATGATTGCCTTGATGGCTTTTTTCCGTTAAGCAAAAGCTTAGCATTTATGTTGTGTGTTTTCTATATACAGTGCGACAATAACAACATTAATGCATTTATTTTATGAAGACCTCAGGTGGGTAGCTAGATAGGCTTAGAAATGTAATTTCAATCTTTTCCTTCCACTCTTACTAAAATGGCAAAGTAAATCGCTGACAGGACATTCAACTTTACGATGCTCCCAATTGGCGAGCAAATCATCATCTTTGAGAGTACAATACATAAAGCAAAAACAATAATTTTCATTACTCATGCCAAGGACGGCAGCTTGTCAAATGAGGAGAAACGTCAACGGATTTGCTAGTGCACGTTATTTGAGATCAACCTTTTTTTTTGGACAAAAATTTAAAAATTTTAAATTTTCTACAAACTTATTTAAAATTTTGTTCACGCCTAACAAGTAAAACAAATAAAAACGGTATAAACGACCAACAGACGTATCATCATTAAATACTCTATGCGGCTCTGCTTCATACTGTTATTCACATGACGATTTTCCAAAATGAAGCTTCACAGTAGAAAACATGGTCGAAAAAGTTGTTTGAGCAAACCATTTTCAATAGCGTTCGTTGTCGTCTTGTGCAGAAAGGCGTCCGGGCAACAAATTCCGTCAGAAAAGCTTAAAAATTGCGACCTCTTTGTTGAATTCAGAAAGCAAGACTGACGGACAGACAAGTTTATATCTGATCCGAAACATGAACGTGGGTCAAGTTGCATCAAAACTGCTTGAAGATTGCGACGTGCAGATTTAAGAAGAAGAACAGGATGAATCGATCGGTGTTTCTATTTCCAAACCTTTTTAAGTATTGTACACACATGCACAAACGTTGATATACTCTTGCGCCGTAAGAGGTGCAGAATACAAAAACATCTTTCTCATCTCACAAATCCATTTGAAATAGAATGAATCCATTCATTTGGGGCGGTCCTGCATAATATGTCAATAAAAGCGCTAAACATTTATGTATGAAAAACCAACGCCATAAAATCACTAACACTTGCACATTTAAAACCAATTCATTATCAAGGTTTGTGTCTCGTGTATTTATAATTTCATAACGAGTAGAAATCTAATTTAATCTCATCGCCTTTATATCTAGTACGCTAAACGCAGAATGATAGATTCTTAGTTAAAAATAAATCATATTTATTTTATATAGAAAGAAACTTTAGTTAGATAAGAATGATTTTATTGGCATTTCTTTTTCTTTTTTTATCAAAAAAGAATTTTACGGGTGCAGTAAAACTTCAAAACCACGAAATGCTTACATTCGAAAATTAAAAATTCACAAAAATAGATTATTTAAGAAATATTGAGCCGAAACGAGACGTTCCTCTCTCAGCGGTTCACATATATATTTTTTATTCCCCTCTTTTTTTTTACTTTTTAATCCATCGATATAAAACAATATCTATATTTGTCGTATGTATTCCTTGGCCAAAATAACTTACTACTAAGGCCCGCTTTTTGCAGCAATAACCCAAGTAATCGGCCTAGACTTTTATACGTATGGTAAAATAAAGCTAAAAACTTTTATTTAATATTATTTTTTTTTTTTCCGAGTAAGTAAAAAAAAATAAACAAAATAACAATGATAAAAAAAAAAAAGTATTAAAGTGCTAATAAAAAATGAAAACAAAAATATAAAGTAATAAACAAGTGAAAGAAATGAGAAAGAAAAGAAAAAGTTGCACAATTCTAAGATTTTTGAAGATCCCTAGCAAAACAACTACAACGCATATGAAACGTACACGCGCTAAATACTGAAAATGTTTTTTTTTTATTTTTTATTTTTTGTTCTCTTAATTTGAAATATAGGCGAGATTAGCTGCAGAGAAATTCTGTTTCAAGTGCATACGTACTTTTTTTTGTAGATATTCCAGTTTTGCATTTCCATTGCGCGTGTGTGTTTCTTTATAAAAATATCATTCCATGTGTTAAAACGAATATTCGATACCTATCGCCTCTAAGATAAATATATACCGTTAGGAAATCCGCTTAGCCATTGGTTGTGTTGTTGACATATTAGTTATTAGCAGCAGGTTATTTTTATCGTAAATATTTGATATTCCCTGCGGCCATATATTCCTAGCTAAAGTCTCCTGATCGATATTGTTTTTCTAGGCATTAAATCCTGTTTTGTGCAAATGCTTGATTTTTTAAAAATGAAAGCTTGGTTTTGACGAACAAGTGCACTTGATGAAATATTCCACATGTTATGAAATCGAAAATATATTGAGGATAACGTGACTGCGTGTACGGTGCATATCAAGTGAATTGTGCTTCATTTTGCAGTCTAGACATTGCAGTTATATGATATTCTGAAGAAAATTACCCTACATAACTGAATAACATTAGTTCGAATTAGGGTTTTTTTTGTCTTAGTGGTTCCGTCAACACGTAAAATTTGTTCTTATTGAAGCGAGTTGAATCGACATTGCATTCCAAAAAACTCGTAGTGTTTTGTGGCTTATCGTTTGACGGCAACCATAGAACTAATTTCTTTCGATGGCTGATGAGAGAAGAAAACGTACGTAGAATTATAGACATGGGAATAGCAAGATGATTCTACGTGCCACACAGCTAATGCCAGTCTCGAATTTTGAGGGCGAAGTTTGGCTGAAAACATGTGGTTCTTACAGGATGGTCCTACGTGCCACACAGCTGTTACTACGCTCGATTTGCTGAAAGAACAGCTCTGTCAACGGATAATTTCTAAAAAGGTGGATATGCGAATTGGCCCCCCCGGCCGTGTGATTTAATCTTCACAAAATTTTTTCTTTAAGGATACATCAAATCGGGGTCTGCTAAGAAAGGTCACTAGCTTTGGAGACTTTGTCATATTTGAAAGCAAACATTCGCCAGTATAATGCAGGCATAACGCAACTAATGCTCTATGGAATGCTTGTTATAAATCAAGTCTGTGATTACAGCATCTGACCATAGACCGATTGACTTCTGATCATGGTATTCCACCAATTGTATTTTGTTGTTACATAAGTCTTTATAAGACATTATAAAAATTATAATTCGCAAGGGATTCGTGCTAGAACAAAGTATTCGTGTAAAAAAGTTTAATTGTTATTTGTTAGGCCGTGTAAAACACGAGTTGCGTGTGTTATGCAAATCCTTGATAATTCATTTTCGTCTTAAACATTTTAGTGTAGAAAATGCTCTCAACTGTGGCAAACCAATCAGAAAGTTTAATAAGCATTACGCGAGATAATACCTGATAAATGTGGAAACAAATTACCCCAATCCACACAGTTTAATACGTATAAGATAAACAGGAGATTCAGCTTAAAAAAAATAATTTTGCTTAATTGTAAAAATTTGACCAAAAATGAATGCTTCAATCCCAAAGAATCTTTTCAAAGTCCAACGATGTATGTCTCCTTTCATTGCGTCGTCCTAAGCCAAATGGTATTAATCGAAGGGCATTAATCGTAGGATGAATTTTAGATCCAAAACAAGTTACATTCCCGTTGACTTGTCAGATTTGTATCGCTTGAACATTTTTCACAAAACCGATAAGACTTTCGCTTACTTATTTATCACGAAACGTTATTTATTTCTCCTCTCTTAGCACAGAAGACAATTGTAACATTAGTCTTGTTTTCTTCACCTGCCCGGAAAACAAACTATTGCTCGACGACAAGCAATTAGGAGAAAAACGCCCATAAAAGTATGTGCCCTCCATGTTTTGCGTTCTTAAAAAAAAATCGGTAGCAAGCTTAGAACCAACTCTAAGAGGATATTGAGTTTTAAATCATTTTCTTTCCTCTTCTTCTTACACATAACTGCTGCTGTTGCTGTTGTCTGAAAACAAACATATACCTCGCACGCGTAAAAGTGTGTAAAGAAAAGATACCACAAGTGCCACATAAATGAAATATAGAAAAAAAAAAAAAAAAAAAAAACCGCCATCGCAGGGAATAGAAAGTATAGCGCAACTTTTAATGAGATTTGCGGTAGAGCGACGTCTTTGTAAAAAAGAGAGCAAAACAAAAGAATTTTATAGAAAATTTTCACGCAGCATATGCAGCACAGATGGAGAAGAAAGCTATGATTTTACGTTCAAACTATAGGTACATAAAGGTACCCACCCACGCATCCTTTTAAGGAGAGTTTATATCCAGCATATTTAGTTCAAGAATTCTTGCAAAATTTTGTTGCAGCTTGAATGATGATTTGACCAAAATTTCAAAACGTGAGACAAACAAAAATGAATGTCGATAATTTTCGTTTTCTTTTCTTCAATATTACTTGACAAAGTATGTATGTAGGTTGCGGTACTCGTTTCACTTGGTTTAGTTTGCCCACATCGTTGTTAATAATACATCGTCGTCATCGTCGAAGGAAAAGTTGTTGATGTCGTTAAGATTTTGGTGCGCCATTCTTCAAATGTATTCGTAAGAGGGTGATTAGGGTGTTCCATTTTTCTGCTTAACATTCAAGACCAAGGAAATCGTTTTCCTCTTGTAGTATATACTTTCAATAAATATATATATATATATATATATGTATACACTTGGCCTCATTTCTCTATTGTTGTTGTATATAATGTTAAAAAACATCTATTTATACATCTAGGAATAAACTTGTACATACCTTCGCTTTATATGACATGATTTTACGGGTTCAAGGTCTTTTTGAAAGGATAACTTTTTTTTTCCTTTTTTTTTTGCTGTTTTTGTCTGTATTTTCCTTCGCATTATAATGTATAAACACAAAAGCATCCAAGGTATTGTATGAATAAATGAAAACCACCTGTACATTTACTATCTAAAAGTATACTTCTTATTTTATAATTTGCTGAAGCCTAAAGATATGTCGTCGAATTTATTTAAAAAAGGAAAAATTTTTTCTACTTTAAGGCATGGTTTTTAAAGCGCATAAATTAATTTTGGCTGCCTGCTCTAAAAAGTTTGCCGACCTCTTCGAGACGACGCCTACAAATGGCCAATGCGTGGTCATATTAGAGGCTACGTCTTCGGACAATATGGCCGCTTTACTAGAATTTATGTATAAAGGAGAAGTGCATGTATCACAAGAGGCCCTTAATAGCTTCCTGAAATCTGCTGAAAATTTACAGGTAATTTGAAACTACAAGCCCATAATGAAATATAAAAGCCATAGCTAAAAGCAATTATTATTATTACCGTTTGCTAGGTGAAAGGATTATCCACAGAGACCGGTCGCTTAGCAGCTCAACAGGCTCAGCAGCATATAGAATCGACGGCTTTAGAATCACCTAATGGTCGTCGCAGTATGCGTAGCATTAGCAGTGGCATTAGTAGTTGTGGTAATTTAAGTAGTTCAGTTATGGGTGGAGGTCTTGTAGCGGGCAGTGGCAATAACGCAACAGGTAGCCTAAATGTTCCTGTTAGTGGTGGTATTGGTAGTGGCGGTGGTGGTGGTGGTGGTGGTGGTGGTGGTAACAATAGTGGTGGTGGCAGTGGTCCCGGCGGTTTGGGAATTGGTACTGGATTAGGTCTTCCTGATCGCTGCCCTAGCACAGGTGGTATTATAACAGGTCCGCCCGGAGTAATGGGCGGCGGTAACAATATAGTCGGTGGACCCCCCGCTGGTTTGGGTAACGGCGGCGCTGGCGCCGCTCACCATCTCGGTGGCTCTACCGGCAACCTTAAACAAGAATGCGATTCCCTCATGCTTCCCAGTAGTAGCTCAACTATGGGTACTATGCCTTCATACGTGCCGCCCATGTACCACCGTCCAATATCATATGAGCCATTGCGCAAAAGAGCCCTTCGCAGTCCTTATGCTGAACAAGAGATACGCGGCAGTGTACTAAGGGATGGCTCAAAAAATCCATCCGAGTGCCCAAGTCCCATCAGTAAACCGCCCTATCATAGGCCATCGTCCAGCGCTTCATCAAATGCACCCACCGAAGCGGACACTATGCACTCTGAAAGAGCTTCGCCCCAATCGAGGTATTGCATATTGAAATTAATCTTTTAAATAACTTCATTTTACTAACTAAGTATTTTTCTTTCGCTCTTTGTATATCTGCTAATGACAAACAAAGTCGTTACGATAATCATAGTCCGAATACTACAGTAGCTGGAAATTGTAGTGCACCTGTTAATATGGACAGATCAGTGAAATCTGAACGCAATAACGGCAGCACGAAAGAGCCACTTAATGATGAAGAGCATGACGATTTGGAAGAGTCCAGAGAAGAAGTGAGTAGTGTTAATGGAAAAGCTCTTTTTCTCGAAAATATATTGCGAATATTTTCTTTCTCTCTAGAATTGTGCAGAAGATCTGCGAGTAAAATTGGAAAATTCCAGTTATTCACCACCGCCAGCACCGCCCACAGCAAATGCATCGCCAACCACCCCGACAGCTTTACTGGAAACACTAAAAAATCCAGATGGCACATTACCGGGAACATTGGCTGCCTCAGTAGCACCAGCCGATATGTTAAATCTGTGGAATGCTACCAAATTAAATAATAAAAACAGCGGTATGGTGAATACAGCAGATGGTGAGTGGAATGAACTAATTAATAATGTTTAGCTCTCTCTTAATTATCTCTGAAAACCAAAATGAACGAAAAATTGAAAAATTATTGTGCTTTAGGTAAAAAACTGAAATGCATATATTGCGATCGTTTGTATGGTTACGAGACGAATCTTCGAGCTCATATACGGCAACGACATCAGGGTATACGGGTGCCTTGTCCGTTCTGTTCCCGTACATTTACCCGTAACAATACGGTAAGACGTCATATTGCACGTGAACATAAACAAGAAATTGGTTTAAGTGCTGGTATCACTATTGCACCAGCTTCAGTGGCTGCTGCGGCAGCGGCGGCCGCTAATCATTCTCAATAGGATGCGGCCGCAACAGCGGCAGCAGCAGTAGTTATGAGTGCGCATAAACAATCGAATCGAATGAGTAAACGTAAATCTTTAAAAATGGCATTAGAAAAATGCATGCAAAGACGCGAAGCGGCGGCTTCTTCGACGTCATCAGATACAACACAAATTACCTCTAATAAGTTAACAACTAACAATGAAGGCGGCGACAACAGTGTTGATAATATCAAAAAAGTTCAAGTAATGGCAGAAGGTCGAAAAAGTTCCATAGAAGAAAGGGATGTTGATCGTAAAGAGGAGCTGACGATATCTACAGATGTTGTTGAAGAAAGTACCGAAACTGAAACGTCTGTGGGTACATCAGCTGAATTGCTGGCATCAGAGACGACGACGGTTGGCGTTGGTAAGTTAGGTGAACCTAATGAAGAGGAAAGAGACAACAAAGAGAAACGGGAAGACGAAAGAATGACGATAAATTCATCAAAAAGTTTTACTTTCGTTAATGATACTGAGAAGCCTTTAGATGCCACAATGTCTCGATTGATGCACGAAGAAAAAGAAGCTGAACGAAATAAAAAATTAGAATGGGAACGACAACAACAACAACATCAACAACAACATGACACTGCCATTAAAGAATATTTAACCCGTAGCAGGGACGCAAACAATGAGCCACGTCTTGCAGAGGAAAGAATTACGTACCATCAAAGACCGCCTAAACGATCTTTAGAAGAGAATTAAAAGTGAAATTTTTTCAAATGAAAAGAAGAGAGAAAACATTGCGCACTGTTTTTCATAGAAACTACTGTTGCAACCGCTGTTGCACGAGCGAAACTAATAATTATTACTGCATAATATATGTGTTAACTTTATTTGACGTTCTTGGAGAAACGCTTCAACACGCTTGAATGAAATGCCACGAAAAGCCTAAAAGCATTTCAGTTAAACATTCAATTTTTTTTTTTTGTCTGTTTTTCTTTTTCTTTTTTTTTATAAAATACCGTTATTTGTGTAATTCCATTAACATTGCTTTCTCGCATTTATCATATAAATATTGTCTTTTCTATTTTCTTTTCTTTTTTGTGCCTTTGGTTAAATTTTTTTTTTATGATTGATTGCTTGCCCTTCTTCTTCTTCTTGTTTTTCCTGTGGTTATTGCAACCATCAAAATATTTTTGCTAATTTTTTTTTTTTTTTTATATCTGTTTTCGTAACAACAATCAAATAATAAATTAAATGAAAATTGATAGCAAAAAAATAAAAAAAAACCAATTGAAATAACAGATTCAAAGAAAAAAAAAAGAATAAAAGAAAGAATCCGACTGAAAAATCGTTTTCAGGGTGCTAATTGAAATATAATAAGAAGAAGAAAGATAGATAAAAAAAAAATATCACACACAACACCAAAAGCAAAAAGAAAAAATTTTAAATATTTTTTTATACAATAACTATCAAATTGGAACAATTTATAAAGCGCTTTGCGCATTGAAGATCCCTATTACACAAAACAACACAAACAAAAAAGAAAAAAAAGTTAAGAATTTACATATGGAAAATAAAAGCCTTCTTCAAATAGTTAAACTAAAAAGAAAAAGTATATATAAAAAAAGAAAAAAAAAAGAGAAAAGAAAACAACAAAGCAACAAAGTTTGAACGTTTTTGGATTGCCTTCAAATCAAATTTATTCATATTTTTTTTTTTTTTGATTTTTTTTTTCTTTAATTTTCTTAAACGAAAGCAAAAAAAAAAGAGAAGAAAATTCATCTAAAGTTATTTTGCAATAGATTTTCTATACTCAGATCACTCAAATGATATGCAACAATAGTACCTAAAACGAAACTGAAACTGAAAAATCAAAATACGCGCACACAAAACCTTAAAAAAAAAACAATAGCCAAAAAAAGCAATAGTTTTTCTTTTAAAAAATTTACAAATAAAAAAAATAAAAAAAAAAAATATATAATTAAAAAAAAAAAAAAAAAAAAAGTAAAAATGAACTAAAAACGAAATAGTCTGAAAATAGTTTAAACTTACAAATGCTGGCTTTATAAACAAGCATTAAAAACCAATACAAAAAATGAAAAAAAAAACTATACAAAATAACAAGTACAAGTTCTTTAAAAAAGCAATTATTAGAAAAATTATAATTTTAAAGCCCTTCCTCTCTTCTCCATTACTCTCTTATCCCTCCCTCCCTCCTTTTTCTCTCTATCTCATTTCTTTTTATTTTGAAAGCATACATCTTTTTTTCAATTACCATAAGTGTCATTATAAAAAAAAAAGTTAAAACTACGAAGCTAGCTGAAGCCTTTAAGCCTTGAGGTGTTAACTTTAGCTTGCATTGATTTTCTCTAATTTTTATGCCCACTAACCAATGTCATTATTGAAAAAAATTCAAATAACAAGAGAAATCTGCAAAGGCCTCGAAGCTTGAAGTCCTTAATTTTTATATCCACTACCAATGTCATCACAAAAAAAAGGGAAAAGAGCAGAAGCCTCTTTACAGTTTTTAAGCCTCTAAGCTTGACGTCTTCCGTTCATCTCCCAATGATTTCCAGTCTTTTCTAATTTTTATATCCAACTACCAGCGTCATCATAAAAAGCCAAAATTATGAGAGAAATTAGAAATGAGGCACAGTAGTTAGGCCTCAAAACTTGAGGTCTTAAGTTCATCTTGCTACGGTTTGCAATTTTCTCCAATAAGTCGTTATAAAGACAGTGAGCATTATAGGAGAAAACTAGGGAGACCTCTTTGTACCTCGCTTGAGGATAGTCACCTGTAGTTTGTTCTTATCATTCCACTAATCAATTTCCCTTTTTACGTCGATTAGAGAAAACTATTAAATACATATATTTGGCCTTCAAACATGTATCTGCTTATACTTGTGTATAGCACTCGAGTATTAAGATATAGGGCTTCCGCTTTCTCGGAGCTTCTCGTTTTCAACGTACTTGCATCTCAATTGTAAACAATTTCATTGAAAAATATGCTACAAATTGGCTGCAAGTTTCACTGCGAGGCACCGAGCGATTAAATGCTGTTCTTTGTGCGTACAATTCATTTCAAATGTACCAGGCCAGCATAATAGGAAAGGGAGACGAATCGTCTCAATCGTCTTGAAAGAACCATTGACGAAATGTACAAATTTGAAAAACTTTTTGCCACACGCTCGTGAGCACATAAATAAGAAAGATGTCGAAATTTGCACTTTATCTTAAGGTGTAGTGGGTATAGAAAATTCGTCTTGGGAAGAATGTATTTAACTGCTTTCTTATATAAATATACCAATCTTATGTTTTAAATTCTTCCTTTTTCTCTTATCTCGCTAATGAAACACACGCGTTACTCACATACAATAGTATATAAAATAGTAAAAAAGAAATATAAAACTCTGCTTATATTTTACACAAAATAACTGTTTAACATAAAATAGTAACCACATGTACCTGCAATAACAACAACAACAACAGCAACAAAATAAAACGTTTTAATAATAAGAAGAATTTACTGTGAAATATGTCGCAACAAAAAGATGAGTTTTTCCAACTTCTCTTTTTCTCTATGAAAAAGATACTAAAAACGAGAATGGAAAGCTTTTCCCAAATTGTGATCCCTTTCACAGGATTTTCTGTGTTTCTTTCGCACATAGACACAACACATAGACACAAAAACACATACACGCATGCACATATGGCCACGCACACATACATATATTTTCCTTAATCCTTTTGGCAATGAAAAAATCTTCTTATATCCAATTATTATTAATTTTTAAAAATACTTTCTTTTTTTTTTTGTTTAAACATTCGTCTTCCTTTTGTTAGATGTATGTTGGTTAGAAGAAAGAAAAGGCGTTTGAAAAATATGTAATTCTCACGATCAATCGGAAAAAACACATTTCGAAAGCGAAAGATGATAGTGCAAGTGCGCGAATGAGCAATTACGTTGAAAGTGAAACGTAGTCGTAAACCAATGCAGGCTGAGCAGAAGAGACGTGATTAGTCATCCTAACAAAATACATGCTGCAAAGTCAACCGCCAACGCGGCAGTAGTGAGGGTGCTATTTGAAACGTTTTGATATGGTGAAGTGACGGCAACGCTTTTATTGCCGCTGGGATTTCGACCTGATCTGCCCTGTACACTTATGTGATTAATGCTAGGAACGTTCTCATCTTTTTAGAGATAAGAATCGTGAAGCCTCTAACAAAAAATCATATAAGAATATGGGAAGACTACGTGGAAATCCTGACGCCAATAACAGCGTTGCCGTGACTTCACCATGTCGAAAGTTTTCATATACCGCCCTTGCTATCTATCGCCGTTAGTGATTGCTTTTGTAGCAATTTGTTCTCTAGGACGGCTTTGGTCAGCTCTTGGACCGATCGATGTTTAAAGTTACCTCACCGGGCGGGGCAGTTCTCTTCTTCATCATCGTTCTTGTCGTCAGAGCTGTCGTCTTTATTGTTTTGAACATTTCTAGGTGCGACGCCTATCTGTTCCTTCTTCACGGTTCCGCTGACTTGGAATCGCTCGATTGAGGTTCACATCATCAGCACCATTTTCATCAGGTTTAGGGATTCCATTTGACTTCTCGCGTTTCTTAGCTGTTTTCTCAATGACGCAGATAGCCTCAATTAGGACGTATAACGTAATCAGTCGCCAAGTAACTAAGAGAGCAAGCTCACTAGCTCACTATGCAATCAAGAATTCATAGAGCATTGTTGTTTTATGCCTCAACTGGCAGTTATGGTCCCATCATCAGGGTTAAATCCAACTTCTTTAAAAACATCGTCATTATTTACTTTTCAAAGCGGCTTCATTGGACAAGTTCCAGCTTTCTTTGCTGGCCGACTTTGACTGCTGTCAGTGGCAATTTTTTTAGGTATAGTTGAAAGGAATCCCGCCATTTTCTGCTACAATCGTTGGAGACTCCCTATCTACATCGTTACTAGGGGTATCTTCCGCGTCCATTTTATTGGTGTTCTCATACTGTAAATTCTATAATAAGCTTCTATAGTGCATTCCATGTTTATACAAGATGTATAAACTAATGCAAAACTAATGCGCGATAATCTCAATCCAACCTTCACTGGTAGGCATTAATAGATTTGTTGTACCTACTAATCTGCTGTAATCTCAGTTATTTGAAATCAACTTGAGAAAGTCATGAGTAGTATGGGAATGTCAAATTAAAAAAGGGCATAGAAAAAGCCGTTAAGAGCGATCTCGATAGATATGTCGATAGATAGCGTCGGCATTTGAAAAGCGTGGGCTTCGCTTCGGGTAAATCTTAAAAAAATTTCCACTGACCGCCGCGGGTCGAAGCTGACCAGCAAAGAAAGCTGGCACTAGTCGAATGTAGCAGGTTGAAAAAGTTGAAGAACAACGATGTTTCTAAAGAGAATGATTTTACCTCTGATGATATCGCTCCGCAAATCCTACCAGAGGCAAATCGAAACTTTGCATTTAGGCAACTGTTAAAGGACCTCGACGACCAGAGGAAATGCTTGAGCCAGTGGTGTAAGAAAGCCAATCCAGTTGATCGCGTCATTAATTCCATAGATTTTAAATTCTTTAGCTCTTTAGCCGTAGCCATTTGATTGTTATAGTGCCGAGAGTCTCATTTTTGTGACCTTCTCACTTATTACATTCTGGCATTCAAATACCAAATATATCGAATCTGATTAAGTATGCCGGTACCGCCCAATTCTTTCACAAGACAGCTTCATATCAATATCTTGTGCCGCCTATCAATTTTCACACGGAGCCCACTTGCCCAAACAAATTTTGTTGTAGAACATATCACAAATATTACCCGCTGGAAATTCATTGGTCATGCTCAGTTAAGCGAGCACAGATTTTAAGAGGCAATTAAAAGCTAAATAATGTTGAAAGCACATAATCGCACAGCTTTTAAATCGTCCTTTTTAAGGAATGATTTCTGAATACCGATAAGAGAAGCCTTTCAACGCCGCAGTGTAGGAGTAAGCTCGTTATATTGAAAAAAAGCTTCCAAAAAAAAATAGGGTTATTTTTGACAAACTTTCGACAAATTGTCGTCAGTCTGTTGTGGTCCATTTTGGTACTCAACCATGTAATGTTCAACTTTAA